CAAACCACCAAAATATTCCTTGAACTAATTTGATTACTTATCCATCTAAGCTATCTTCTATTGTATATTATCTAAATCCATATCATTATTCCCTTTTGATTAGATTACCTCTTAACTGTTCACTACTTCCATCCACGCACCTTGACCTTCCTTCTGTAATCAGTGGTGTATTGGTAAATATTTAACCACCAGCTCCACAGGCAGGTGGGAGGCTCTGATTTGTAGTATTTGCCCAGTTTCTGTGATATAGTTACTACTACTGTGGCCCGTTTCATGCTGTTAACATGACATCACTGATCATGCAGTTGAGTAGAGATGTGCAGTAGCATACTATTATATAGTAGCGCTTAATGCATTTGACTGCTAACCAGAAGGCTGGCACTTCAAACCCACAAGCCATTCCTCAGAAGGAAGATTGGGCAGTCTACTTCCATAGAGATACTGCCTCAGAAACCCAAGGAGAGGTCACTATGAGTCAAAATCAACTCGACAGAAGTAAGTCTGCAACAGTCAGCCGCAGGGATCCAGGTGAGGAGAGAGAACCCAGGCATGCCCCAAGCAGCAGGACAGGAGAGCGGGAGAAAGGGGATTAAAAGCCAGGAACCTAGACAGAGGAGCAGTCAACTGTAGGGATCTAGGTGAGGAGAGAGAACGCAGGCACACCCAAAGCAGCAGGGCCGGAGAGTGGGAGAAAGGGGATTAAAAGGCCCAGGAACCAGGACAGAGGAGCGGTCAGTGGCAGGGACCCAGGTAAGGATGGTACGAGAGGTTTCCAACAGGGAGACAAACCTTCTGTCAGTTTGTCCTACCGTGGTGACTTGTTGATGTAAGTTTTGAGGCTGAGCCACTGGTGTTTCAAACCCAGCGGGATGCACATGGTGCACAGGTATCAGCCCAGCTTACAGACTGAGGCAGACTAGGAAGAAGGAAGAGGCCATCTGCTTCCAAAGAATTGGCCAGGGAAAACGTTATAAATAGTAAAGAAGCACTGTTTGATACATTACCGTGCAACTTTATGAATAGTCCAGTTAGGTTAGAAGGCTCTCAAAATAGGTAAAGAGGTGCATCATCTGAGTAAACCCAGCCTTATTCATATGGATAAGGTAAAGCTTTCAAGACCTCCATTTGCTGATGTGGCACCACCCAAATTGAAAAGAAGCACTGCAGATATCCATTAATCATCGGAACATGGAATGTACAAAGTATGAATCTAGGAAAATTGTAAGTTGTCAAAAATGAAATGGAATGCATAAAGATTGATATCTTCAGCATTAGTGAGCTGAAATGGACTGGTTTTGGTCACTTTGAATCAGACAACCATATGATCTACTATGCCGCGAATGACAGTTTGAAGAGGAATGGTGTGGCATTCATCACAACAAAGGAGTTTCAAGATCTGTCTTGAAGTACAATGCTGTCAGTGATAGGATAATATCCATACGTCTACAAGGAAGGCCCATTAATATGACTATTATTCAAATTTATGCCCCAACCACAAAAGCCAAAGATGAAGAAATTGAAGATTTTTATCAACTTCTGCAGTCTGAAATTGACCGAACATGCAATCAGGATGTGTTAATTATCACTGGTGACTGAGATACAAAAGTTGGAAACAAAGAAGAATCACTGGTAGTTGGAAAATTTGGCCTTGGTGACAGAAATAACGCTGGAAATAGCATGGTAGAATTTTGCAAGATCAATGACTTGTTCATTGCAAACACCTTTTTTCACACAGATGGCAGCTCTACACATGGACTTCACCAGATGGAACACACAGGAATCAGATTGACGACATCTGTGGCAAGAGGCAGTGGAAAAGCTCAATATCTTCAGCCAAAACCAGGCCAGGAGCTGACTGTGGAACACACTGCTCATATGCAAGTTCAACTTGAAGTTAAAGACAATTAAAACAAGTCCAAGAGAGCCAAAATATGATCTTATATCCCTCCTGAATTTAGAGATCATCTAAAGAATAGATTTGATACATTGAACACCAGCGACCAAAAACCAGAATTGTGGAAGGATATCAAGAACATTTTCCATGAAGAATGCAAGAGATCACTAAAAAGACGAGAAGAGAAGAGAAGACCAAAATGGATGACAGAAGAGACTCTGAAACTTGCCCTTGAGCGGAGAATAGCTAAAGCAAATGGAAGAAATGACAAGATAAAAGAGTTGAACAGAAGATTTCAAAGAGCAGCTCGAGCAGACAAAACCACTTACTATAATAAAATGTGCAAACACCTGGACTCTGAAAACCAAAAGGGAAGAACACACTTGGCATTTCTCAAGCTGAAAGAATTGAAGAAAAAATTGAAGCCTCGAGTTGCAATATTGAGAGATTCTATGGGCAAAATATTGAATGATGCAGGAAACATCAAGAGAAAATGGCCAAAAAGACCTTGTTGATCTTCATTCATTTCAGGAAGTGGCATATGATCTAGAACCAATGGTACTGAAGGAGGAAGTCAAAGCTGCAATGAAAGAATTGGTGAAGAACAAGGCTCCAGGAATTGATGGAATACCGATTGAGATATTTCAACAGACGGATGCCCCATTGGAGGCACTCACTTGGTTATGCCAAGAGATTTGGAAGACAGCTACCTGGCCAACTGACTGGAAGAGATCCATATTTGTACCCATTCCAAAGAAAGGTGATCCCACAGAATGTGGAAATTATAGAACAGTATCATTAATATCACATCCAAGTAAGATCTTACTGAAAATAATTCAGAAACGGTTGCAACAGTATATTGACAGAGAACTTCCAGAGGTGCAAACTGGATTCAGAAGAGGACATCATGGAACAAGGGATATTATAGCTGTTGTCAGATGGATCTTGGCTCAAGGAAGGGAATAACAGAAAGATGTTTACTTGTGTTTTATTGACTATGCAAAGGCATTTGATTGTGTGGATCATGACAAATTATGGATAATACTGAGAAGAATGGGAATTCTCAAACACTTGATTGTACTCATGAGGAACCTGTACCTTGACCAGGAGGCTGTCGTTTGAATGGAACAAGGGGACACTACATGGTTTAAAATCAAGAAGGGAGTGTGTCACGGTTGTATTCTTTCTCCACACTTAATCTATATGCTGAGCAAATAATCAAAGAAGCTGGACTATATGAAGGAAAATGTGGCATCAGGATTGGAGGAAGAATCATTAACAACCTGAGATACACAGACGATACAACTTTGCTTGCTGAAAGTGAGAATGACTTGAAGTACTTACTGATGAAGTTTGAAGAATACAGTCTGCAGTATAGACTACATCTCAATATAAAGAAAAAAAAATCCTCACAACTGGACCAATGAGCATCATCACAATAAATGGAGAGAAGATTGAGGTTGTCAAAGAATTCACGTTGCTTGGTTCTACAATCGATGCCAATGGAAGCAGCAGTCAGGACATTAGACGACGTGTAGCATTGGGAAGGTCAACCATGAAGGAACTGGCTGGCTGCTGCCTCTGAGAAGCCCAAGGTTGACAAATGCCTCTAGCTTCAGTGGGCCAGGAGCTGGAGGCAAAACTGAAGCCCAAGGCTGAGGGGCTTTCACCTAGCCCTTGGAGCCTGGCACTTTGAATTTGGGCTTAAGCCTCCAAATTGTAAGAATAAACTCCTGTTTGTTAAGGCCATCCCATTTGTGGTGTATTTCTTGTCAGAGCAGCACTAGGTAACCAGACAATATATAAACCTTTCCTTGACTTTTTACAATAACTGACTAATACAATACTTGTCCTTCTGTGATTGACTTATTTCACTGAGCATAATGTCCTCCAAGTTTGTCCACATTATGTAGTGTATCACTTGCAATTACTTTTATAATAGCGTTTATTATGTAGTATTTACTATGTACTACACATTCCAGTATTAATGAATGTTTGCAGCTGTTTCTTCCCATTTTGAGTCATGCTTATCCTGACAAACATGTCCAGAGCATGTGAGACAAAGTCTCATCCTTGCTTCTAAAAGGAGCATTCTGGCTATACTTCTAGGACAGATTTTTCTGTTCCAAGGATAAGAAGTGAAAAACAAAGCCCCTACACTGGAGCTAAACTCAAATATTACAAATGAGGCTTGATTCTTGTGTTTCTAACTCAGTTAACATAGTTACCACTAGAATTTTCAGAGATAGTCTCATATTTGGCTCTTCCTTAACGGATATACACTGCGTACATAGCAGTATATTTTGTATTTTAAATAAACATTAAAGGAAGAACATTCCTGCTGGGCTTGGCAGCAGAATTTTTTCTCTTTTGTGATAATTAAGCTTTCTATTGCACTGTATTGCTTAAGAATTGATTTGTTATGAATATATGTAGTTTAACTACATGGAAGTAATGCAGTGAATTATTAATTTACCTCTTCTGTACTCATTCATCTAGCAAATTTTTGCTGACTCTCTACTGTTTGCAAGACACTATGCTGTTGAATAGACGAAAAGATATGATCCCTGTCCTCGGTAAATTTATAATTTACTTTTATTTCACTGGAAATTTATTAAAATGGAAAAAATTTTAGAACAATGTGGTATGTGCCATTATGAAAGGACCCAAGTGAAACAGCACCAAAATCTGTCTAGCCTTTCCTGAAAAAAATTTCATCATTAGATATCTGATTTGCCTTGGCCGTGTACACTACCAATAGGTCCAAGCATACTGAATTACTCCCGCTTGTAATAGTTCTACATAAATTTGCTCTGGATCAGTTTAGTTTTGTTTTCTTTGTACTGTGCATGGTTAGGTCTGGGTTAGAAAGAAATGGCTCTTAAGAACCCTGAAAAACAAAAGCACTCGAGGCAGATATTCACAAATGTATATATATCTAGATATATAAATATAATTTACAAAAATTAGCATGAATTGGTTTTTGTGTGTTAAAGTGGATATTAGGAGTTTAAAATCATCTTTTAAATTTTCTTTAAATATTTAGGTGCAACCAAAAATGTGATGGTTAGAATTTCAGTTGCTTTTTTTTTTTTTTTTTTTAAAGGTTTCCTTTGGATCCTAAAAGAAGAAAAGAATGGATTCGTCTGGTTAGGCGTAAAAACTTTGTGCCAGGAAAACACACTTTTCTTTGTTCAAAGCACTTTGAAGCCTCCTGTTTTGACCTAACAGGTCAAACTCGACGACTTAAAATGGATGCTGTTCCAACCATTTTTGATTTTTGTACCCATATAAAGTCTATGGTAGGTAATACTACTTTATTTTTATCCTATTTTTACCATTTTGAAGGCTTGTTCCTTTTTATTTATACAATGCAAATATTCAGAATATATTGAAATGTATGGTCATATGTTTCAAGAAAGTTGCAAATCTAGATCCTGGATAGAGTGTGAGGAAGAATGTGGAATACAATTCCAAAATACAAGAATGACCAGAATTACTGATTGGACAAAGACTGGTGGAACCCCCCAGACTCGGGCCCCAGCGTTATCCTTCAGGCCTGGAATTGGACTTACTTAGTGGCGTAATATCTAAGGCATTTGACTACTAACCAGAAGGCTGGCAGTTCAAACCCACCAGCCACTCCTCGGAAGGAAGATTGGGCAATCTATTTCCGTAGAGATACCTCCTCAGAAACCCCTGGAGGGGTCTCTATGAGTCAAAATCGACTCAACGGCAGTGAGTTCGGTTTTTTTCCTCCATGGAATAGCTCTCAGCCAAGCAGTAGAAAGCCCTACAAGCAGAACACCTATCCCAGGGAGGTACACCCCTTAGATCAGTCAGCCATGGGACATTAGATGGGCATTTCCATAGAGGGAGAGCTGGACAGAGAGGAATGCATAGATAAGAAGGACACAGGACAGGAAGGGGGTTAGTTGCAGAGAGGAGAGTTTTATATTGTTGAAAATTGTAGTTGGGGCTGTGAAACCAAATGTGCATGAACTGTTGAGAATAAAATGAATCTACTTTGTATTTTGCACCTATATCACAATAAAATATGTTAAATAAATAAAATACAAAAAAAAATGTAAGTTGCAAACCTTCCTCTTGTGCAAAAAGGTACAGGCTAGATTTAAAGTTCTGTTCTCCTGATTGCAGTATTCTTTCCCCAGTATAAATTGTTTTATTATATTGGAATTTTACATTACTATCTTTTATCAGTAATTGACCCATAAGTAAAACAGAAATCATGGGAGTAATGAAACCTCCAGTATCACCCTGTTTTGATTTTAAGATAATACACAAATTGCATGTGCTAAGTACTTTTAAGAGGAAGTAGCACCCAGAGTTACACCAAAGTATATATATATACTCTGAGGGAACAGAAAGCTTCATAGAGCTCACACATTTAAGCTATGCTTGAAGATCTACAGTGTGGAACTCAGGAAAGAGTTCTTGACCTCGCACAGAACAAATACAATAGGTGGTTGTTGTTGTTGTTGTTGTTGTTGTTGTTATGTGCCGTCGAGCCGGACCCAACTCATAGCAACCCCTCCTTGGGTTTCCGAGGCAGTATCACTATGGACTTAGATTGCCCCATCTTCCTTCCGAGGAGTGGCCGGTACGTTTGAACCGCCAGCCTTCTGATTAGTAGTCAGATGCCTTAGGCACTTGCTACCATAGCTCCTCATGTTGTTGTTAGGTGCCATCAACTAATCTCCAATTCATAGTGACCCTATGCACAGCAGAAAGAAACACTGCCTAGTCCCGTGTCAGCCCCACGATCCTTGCTATACCTGAGCCCATTGTTGCAGCTACTGTGTCAATCCATCTCATTGAGGGCCTTCCCCTTTTTCATTGACCTTCCACTTTACCAAGCATGATATCCTTCTCTAAGGAATGGTTCCTTCTGACAACGTGACCAAAGTAGGTAAGACAAAATCTGGCCATTCTCTCTTCAAAGGAGCATTCTGGCTGCACTTCTTCCAGGACAGATTTGTTAGTCCTTTTAGCAGACCATGGTACTCTTAGCATTCTTCTCCAGCACCACAACTCAAAAGCATCAACTCTTCTTCAGTCATCCTTACTCATTGTCCAGCTCTCACGTGCATAAGAGGCAATTGAAAATACTATGGCGTGGATTAGGCTCACCTTAGTCTTCAAGGAGACATCTTTGCTCTTCACTTGAAAGAGGTCTTTTGCAGCAGATTTGCCCGATGCAATACATCATCTGATGTCTTGATGGCTGCTTCTGTTGGTGTTGATTGTAGAACCAAGTAAGATGAAGTCGTTGACAACGTCAGTGTTTTCTCCATCCATTGTGAAACTATCTATTGGACCAATTGTGAGGATTTTTGTTTTCTTAATATTGAGGTATAATCCATACTGCAGACTGTAGTCTTTAATTTTCGTCAGTAGTTGCTTCAGGTCATCCTCACTTTCAGCAAGTAAAGTTGTGTCATCTGTGTATCACAGGTTGTTAATGAGTCTTCCTCCAATCCTGATACATCTCGGATTATGTGCTCAGCATAGAAATTGAATTAAGTATAGTGAAAGGATACAACCCTGACACACTCCCTTCTTTATTTTAAACCATGCAGTAGCATGGTAAGAACAAAAGCCAACTTATTGAGGGGTTAATAGGAAATAATCAAAATGTTATAAAGTGATCTTTAAAAGGAGGGAGGCAATTAAGGTACAGGATGAATGAATTAAAGCAGTGTTTTATCTAGTTAGGGAAGATCTGATCAGAGAGGAAAACACTCTGAGAAAGTGTTTCCAAATGGTAAGAAAGGGAAAAATGAGTAACAGAAATAGAGGGTTTAGCTTTGCAAAAGGAATAGACATCTTTTCATCTGAAAAAGGAGAAAGCACTGCTTTTCTTGAGTTATTTGTGATAGTTACATATGTAAATGCGTGTAAGTTAATTGCAGGAACAAGAGGTTGTGGTAAACTACCACAGATACTAGAAAAGGTCCAGGAGGACAAGAACTTTGTCTTACTCACTTCTGAATCCTCAGCACTTCAAAAAGTGCTTAATACATACATAGTATCTACTTACATGTTTATTGAACTTGAAATGTACCTTGTTTTTGCCATTTTATTCATTCATTCAAAAATATTAAACTTTATGCCAGAATCTAAGTTAGATGCTAAGGATACAAAGTTAAAGTCCTTGCCATAAAGGAGCTTACAGTCTAGTGAAGAATCACGAAAAAAGTTCCCAGGGAAGACACCAGCACCTACAGGTTTCATAAGGACAGGAACCAGAGTGTCTTATTTATTCATTTTTGTGTCTAAGAATTCATAATACATTTTCAGTAAATGTTGAATGAATGGAAGACCCATGTAGTAAGGATATGATATATTCTGGGAACTGTAAGTGGGTTAGTACTGCTGGAGTATCAATGAAGATGGCTAATGACAGAATGGGACCATACCAAATGGTATATACCATTCACATAAATGGTATATTATGCCATCTAGATTTTTTTCTTCTTTTAGATAATGGGGAAAGAAAGAGGAATTTAGCCAGTAGAGAAATATCAAATCTGTTAGAAAAATTACTCTAGTGGAAGAAGATGGATTATGATCAAAACTCCAGGTGGAGAGATCAATGAGGAAGTTTTTTTAATATTCCAGCCACAGTTAATACGGGCCTGGATGTAGGCAGTGACATTAAGAATGATGGAAAGAAGAGGATTCATAATGGAGATGTTTAGAGGGTAAAAATAATAAGATTTGATGGTAACTGAACAAAAGAGATAAAAAAAAGTGCTCTCTAGGTTTCTGATTTGCCAAAAACTTCCTAGCCACACTTTAAAGCCTACGTAATTGTGAACAATAGGTAAATCTTTTTTTGATGTTTGATACCTGAGAATATGTTTTTATGGATCCTTCAGTTTGTTGTAAAGTAGAACCCTGGGTCTAAACATTTATCAAATTGAAATAGTATTTACCTTTAAAAAAAAAAAAAGAGGTCCTCAACTCAATATCACAAATAAAATGTTTAAATACATTCTTAACTGATCTTAATAAGAAAATTGCAAAGGATTTCCAAAATATCCATTGATTCATACTCCATAATTTGGAAGAGACCTTAGAAATTTCCAAACCAATGTTTGAATGTCTGGAGAGAGAACAAAAAAGAAATAGGTGGCTAGAGTTAATTCGACCAGTTGAAAAACTTAATCCATGATTATATGAGATGGGCTGTTGCTGTTTCCTATCAATATGTTAAAATTAGTTATTAAAGAGCAGTTTAAATATTTTACCCAAAATTAGACAAAATTTGCTGACTTGTGATATTCCATAATTTATATTTAACCCTCTAATTTTATTTGATTCAGAAACTCAAGTCAAGGAATCTTTTGGAAAACAACAGTTGTACTCCAGCAGGATCAACTAAATCAAACATTAGTAGTCACCAAGTACTACTTGAACACAGTTATGCCTTTAGGAACCCTATAGAGGCAAAAAAGAGGATAATTAAACTAGAAAAAGAAATAGCAAGCTTAAAAAGAAAAATGAAAACTTGCCTACAGAAAGAACGCAGAGCAACAAGAAGATGGCTCAAAGCCACATGTTTGGTGAAGAATTTAGAAGCAAATAACTTATTACCTAAGGGCACATCAGAACACATTTTACCAACTGCCTTAACTAATCTTCCTTTGGAAAATTTCAAGATTTTTGAACAAGATCAACAAGATAAAACATCAATTCTCTAAACCTAAAACAGCCCAAGAATACCTTTAACATTAGCTTGCACGGAACTTCAAACCCACAATTCCTCCCATTCAGAAGTAAAAATGTTCAAGGCAATTATGCCAAAATTAGGTATTTAATAAAGATTTACTTGAAGTAACATTATTACTATGTAACTTATGAAGAGTACAAAAACAATGTACAATTTTTTATGAAACTTTATTTAAAATTAATGGAAGTGCCTTATGTGAGAATTACTTATTTAAAAATTTTGTTAGGAAATTTTATGTTTGCAAGGTATTTTGTGTTTTGGTCTTTTTAAACTACTTTTTAAAAAGTCTGATAAGTTACATGTTTAATTTATATTAAGAAAAAAAAAAAACTATCAGTACCAAAGTTGGGGTATCACATTCTAAGTAAGATGCTAAGTAGGAGTTAATTAACTTTAAAAATGACCTTAGAAAATTGCTAGGTTTTGTATTAATTAAATTATTGGCACTGTGATTTGGAGAATTTATAGAAAAAACCTAAGGGCAGGGCAAGTTCTTTTATTTAAACTTTTTGTGTCTTTTTACCAGTGAAAGTGAGCTGATCATGACCACCAGATAAGAATATAAGATTTTAAGTTAGATTGCAAAATAACTTGAAAACATTATTTTTGAATGTGTGAAGTACCTTCACATCATCCAGACTAGGTAAGGCCACAAGTACCTCATATTAGTAAAAACTGGTAGCTGATTATATTCACCTTCTAAAAAGATGTATTATAGAATAATGCAAATTTCAAGATCTAGCTTTTACCTTAATTAATCGACAAATGTATACTACTCTTTTTTCTCATGATAAAAGTATTAACATTTCTGATTTCAAAATTGGTACATTAAACAGCAAACATGGTACAAAGTTGTAAGTCATGCATTCCCCTTTTGACTCAGTTTGTTTTGATAAGCAAACCTCTTAACCCATTGCCGTCAAGTCGGATCCAACCCATAGCAACCCCTCCTTGGGTTTCTGAGGTAGTATCTCTACAGAAGTAGATTGCCCAACCTACCTTCCAAGGAGTGGCTGGTGGGTTTGAACCACCAGCCTTCTGGTTCAGTCAAATGTCTTAGGCACTACACTACCAGAGTTCATACCAAACCTCTTTTTCTTTTTAACTACTTTCTAAAACATATTCTATACCTCAGAAATGGCCTATCAGTAGTAGGCTTTTCTTTTTCTTTCATAAGCCTACAGTAGAATTTATTCACAGGAAGGTATTTACCACATTATGACTTAACAATTTATAACTTAAAATGAAATCAATTTATGTATCAGCTTGCTTTTTATATCCATTTTTTTAGTGAAAGTCAAATAGAGTAACATTTGTTACTTTATAGTACATAAGCCAAGTGAAATGTAGTTTCACTTCATATGTGTCTATGATAAAGCTATGCAAATGTTAACAGTTTTACAAAATAGAAGTATCAGAAGTATTCTTATAGTTGCCACTTGAACAATTAAAAGGTTTGCCTTATTTCACTAAATTTTAATAGAATCCTTTCCTTCAAATAATAGCTTTGATCAAATCATGTAAAAATTTACTTATATAATCAAGTTATTTAATCTTAATTCAAGTTCTGACCCTACCATATGAAAGTATATTACTATATAAAAAAGTATAAATTGCTGTAACTCTTTGCTTGTTTTCCTACTATTTTTTTTAATGACATTTGCTTGGACCCTAGAAACAGTGTTCTTATAGAATTAGTACCCTTTTAATAAGGAATACCTCCCAACCACCTCAGTTTCACAAACGCAAAAAAAAAGCTTGTTTTAGTTCTCATCAGGCACTTATGACAAATACTTATGAAAATCCTTTTGAGTATGTTGTAAACCTGGTTAGTCTTTTTTCAATAAGAATTGGATGTAGCTCCTTGGAATAATCATATATGGTTTTAAATAAATAATGTAATCATCAACAAACATCCTATCCACTTTATACCACAAAACAGGTTGAGCAGATAATTTGAACATAAACTGTTTTTCCAAATAGAGATACTCATGGGCTTTACCTTCTCAAATAGAAAACAAAAGACAATTTAATTAATACAGGTTGGTTCTTATCTACAATAATACTTTAATATCTTCATGTTAGTGTTGTGTTGTGTAACACAACATAACAGAATAATACCTTAATATCTTCATAAAACCTTTAAAATCATAAAGATTATAAAGTTGTTGACATTACTTACTCTTCATTATCATTTGCCACCCTTGACTAAACTGCCACACTAATCATAAAGCAGATTTTCCTTCTCCATATCATTTTCATGTTACTGTCTTGATAACAGGAACTCTGGTGGCGTAGTGCCTAAGGTATTTGACTACTAACCAGAGGCTAGAGGTTCAAACCCACCAGCCACTCCTCAGAAGGAAGATTGGGCAATCTACTTCCATAGTGATGCTGCCTCGGAAACCGTTGAGTCAGATCCGACTCAATGGCAGTGAGTTTGGTTTTTGCTTTTGGCTTGATAACATGATCCACATCATCCCTTAATCAAATTGTTTCATTAACATGTCTACCTTCAAAACTAGTTTAATTTGTAGAGAAAACCTAAAAGGAATTTTTTAAAATCCTGTTCTGAGTTTGTTGACACATTTATCACTTTGACCCATACCATAAAACTAATCTATAGTATAATAGCACTTTGTGTTCTGCTGGACACAACACACATCCTCTGTTCATTCTATGTCTATTAAATGCTAGACACTAGAGGAACTACGGAGAACCAGCCAAAGGCTAGGAATTTGATTTAAGGATGAATATGATGCAGTTTTCTGCCCTCAAGTACTCAAGGTCTCCTGAGAGAAACAAATATTTACAATATAATATGACAGTTGTTACAAAAGAAATTTGTGTTAGGTGCACTGATATATTCAAATATCGTTGAATTGGAATTTATTGAGAATCCAATTCTAGACTTTTATATAATCTAGTACTTTTCTTTTGAAACAAAATACATTTCTTCTTGCAATGATTTAACTAAAGGAGGTGAAGGACATTGGTGCTGACATAAAAGACAGTGTTAACTTTTAATGAGTTGTAAGATATTTTTACCCTTTATATTAAACATTGAACATAGACACAAACATTTTTGCTAAAAGGAAGCATAACTATAAATTACTACTACAAAACCAACTAGTAGAGTTGATGTGAAATTTGATGTTTTGTGCAAAATAACAAACTCTAACACCGATTTTTAAAATAATTTTATTTATGTAGAATCTTACAGTTAACAGAGCTCTTTGCTATCTAACTCATTCTCTTATTCCACATTCTGTGTAGTAGATAGTGTTATATCCGATTTACAAATGAAGAAATCTTTGTTAATGTAATTTATTATTCATGCCAATATTTTCCATGTGCTATCTATAGCACATGGAATAGAAATGCCAGTAATCATTAAGTTCTGGACTGAACACATGTCTTCTGTTTCCTAATCCCATTTTCTACCCTCCACAGTATAACCCTCTGTTTAATATACAAATTATGTTATTAAAACAGGACAAATATGTGTCTCAAAAGAATAAAGATAGCAAAGATAGTCTGTGAGGTAATTGTTGATCTTTTCAGTAAACTTTATAATGCTGGTGTATTATTTCATTTCTCAATGTTAGATTACGGGTAAATTTTAATTTTGGTATAATATGGAAAGTGGTTCATCTTTATGCCAGAATGGGATTCTTTTGATATTTAGACAGTTGGAAACTTTCTAAAGTTAATACTTTTGTAATGTATATTAAACAGTTGTATATTGTGTTTACAAAAACATATTGAGTATGTTGACATTAAAAACTTTTTTCCAAGGCTATTATGATAGTGCCTTTTATTTCCAAAAATGTACATAAACTTTTGTGAGGAAATCTTCCCCTAAATTGATCCCCTAAAAGATTTCTATGGAACCCCTTCCCTAAAGTGAAGCAAACTGTAAACCAAATAAAAACATGTAAAGCCTTAAGTTGTGGTGGTTTCTTGGCCACAGTTGGCTATCCTGCAGGAGCAAGTAGTTGGACCTGTGGGGCTTGGAACTATGGTCACAGGAGACATCAAGCTCAATTGGCGTAACATACTACTCAAAAACATTGTTCTACATCCTACTTTGGTAAGTAGTAACTAGTGTCTTAAATGTTTGCAAGCAACCATCTAGGTGCAACGATGGTCTCTCCTCATCCAGAGCAAAGAAGAATGAAGAAAACCAAACACATGTGGAAACAATTAGTCCAAAGGACTGGCAGGCCAAGTGACCCTCAGCCTTATAGGACCATGAGACCAGAAGAACTAGATGGTGCCCAGCTACCACTGGCAACCACTCAGGGGGACTAGTGCAGGAGATCCTGGGTAGAGTGGGAGAACAATGTGGAACAAAATGCAAAATCATTTGAAAAAAAAAAGACTAGGTTTGCTGATCTGATAGTGCCTGTTGAGACCCCTGAAACCATTGCCCCTAGTTACCCTTCAAGTTTGGAACTGAACTCAGTCCTGTGGCTTCCAGCCAAACAACAGGCAGACATCTGGGGTGACATTTACGTCAGAGAGATACACTCCTTGGAGTGATCAATCATGGAAGAACAGAAGGGCAGTGTTAGTGCAGGGAGATAGCTGGGGGGGAGGGGGACTGGGGAGCATGGGAGGGAAGGAGACAGAAGAGGTAACTACAGGGAGGAAGTGGGAAAAGAGCTGTTACATTGTGGGGAATTGTAGTCAATATGAAACAAAATGTATGAACTGCTGTATGGAAAATAAATTTGCTCTGTAAACTTTCACCCAAATCACAATAAAAAAATATTTTAAAAATATGTAAAGCCTTAAAGAGGAATTATTTTCATTTTTTGTTGCTAAAGTTATATCCAAACTTCATTTGCACTGTTTTAAATACTAGCTCTGGTAGTATAGTGGCTAAGACACTTGCCTGCTAACCAGACGGCTGGCGGTTCAAACCCACCAGCCACTCCTCGGAAGGAAGGTTGGGCAATCCTACTTCCGTAGTGATACTGCCTTGGAAACCCAAGGAGGGGTTGCTATGAGTCAGGGCTGACTTGACGGCACATAACAACAACAACAAATACTAGTTACACAATTTAGACCAGATAGATGAAGGCTACAAAAATTTCCCTTTTAAGAACCTATCCCAATAATAATTTGAGACTGTTGTTGTTGTTGTTGTTATGTGCCGTCGAGTCGGCCCCAACTCATAGCGACCCCTCCTTGGGTTTCCGAGGCAGTATCACTACGGAAGTAGATTGCCCAACCTTCCTTCCGAGGAGTGGCTGGTGGGTTTGAACCGCCAGCCGTAAAAAGATTTATTGCAGATACGATTACCAAGGCATTGTTTTTAATAACAAAAAATATTTTTAATCATAGAGGTTTGTTTATAATACATTCATTACATAAAATACTATGTTGTTGTTGTTATGTGCCGTGGAGTCAGCCCTGACTCATAGCGACCCCTCCTTGGGTTTCCGAGGCAGTATCACTACGGAAGTAGGATTGCCCAACCTTCCTTCCGAGGAGTGGCTGGTGGGTTTGAACCGCCAGCCTTCTGGTTAGCAGTCAAGTGCCTTAGCAACTATGCTACCAGAGCTCCCTAAATACTATGCAACTATTAAAAATGAATGATTTTGTAAAACATAAGGAAAATATTTGGTATACTGTTAATTGGAAATGCACCGAAAATCATCTATAGTGTGATTCCAGTTTGGGTTTGAAGCTACCCTTATTCCAAGTCTGATTATTATTACCCATTGAAGGAATCAAACAGAACGATTAAACGCAGGCCTATACTTCCTATTCTGTACACTCATCGGATCGCTACCGTTATTAGTGGCTCTCATATGAATTCAAAATTCACTTGGAACAGTCAACTTCCTTATTATACAACTATGAATGCAGCCCCTCCCCCACTTATGATCGTCCCATTTTCTCTGACTAGCATGCATACGGGAGCTCTGGTAGCACAGTGCCTAAGGCACTTGACTGCTAACCAGAAGCCTGGCGGTTCAAACCCACCAGCCACTCCTCGAAAGGAAGATGGGGCAATATACTTCCCTGGTGATACTGCCTCGGAAACCCAAGGAGGGGTCGCTATGAGTGGGGTTCGACTCAATGGAACGTAACAACAACAACAGCATGCATAATAGCTTTCATAGTAAAAATACCCCTATATGGATTACACCTGACTGCCCAAAAGCACACGTTGAAGCCCCAATCGCAGGATCTATAGCAGTGGCCGCAATCTTCCTAAAGCTAGGTGGATACGGCATACTACGAATTTCAATTCTACAAGACCCGGTAACAGACAAAATAGCAGATCCATTCCTTACACTCTCCCTATGAGGTATGATTATAACCAGCTCAATCTGTTTAGGCCAAACAGACTTAAAATCCTTAATCGCATACTTCTCAGTCAGTCACATAGCTCTAGTTATCGTCGCCATTCTTATCCAAACTCATCAGAGATTTAAAAAGCATTCTACTATAATGCTTGACATTAAATTAAAAAAAAAAAAAAAAAAAAAATACTGCCATGGAGCCGATTCCAACTCATTGCGACCTCCATGGGGTTTACAAGACTGAATCTTTAGGGAAGTAGACTGCATCATCTTCCTCCCGCAAAGCAGCTGGTGGGTTTGAACCGCCAAACTTCAAGTTACCTAATATCTTACCCACTGCACCTCCTTTGAAGTGAACTTCTTGTTAAGTTCTGTTGAGTCAGCTCCGACTCACAGTGACCCTATGCACAGCAGAACAAAATACTGCTTAGTCATGGGCCACCCTCACAATCCTTGCTATACTGGAGCCCATCGTTGCAGCCACCATGTCAATCCCTCTTGTGGGTATTCCCCTTTTTTTCCTGACCCTCCACTTTACCAAGCAAGCATGATATCCTTCTCCAGGGAAAGGTCTCTTCTGACCAATGACCCAAGTAGGTGAAAGAAGTCTGAAACTTTGTTGTTTGTTGTTATGTGCCCTCGAGTGGAATCCGAATCATAGCGACCCCTCCTTGGGTTTCCGAGGCAGTATCACTACCAAGTAGATTGCCCAACCAACCTTCCGAGGAGTGGCTGGTGGGTTTCAACCGAGAGCCTTCAGGTTAGCAGTCAGATGCATTAGGCACTACGAAACTTACTGGATCTAAATTCACTTGCATCTATTCTATTACTACCCTGATGGTAGTTTCATTTTTGGGCGTTTGGGTATATTCCAAAACACAAAGACCTAAGCTTTTTGATGTCTGTATCATGAGAAGCATTACGAAACCACCATGCCTAGGATCTCGCCAGCCCTCAATGGCGTCACCCTTGCGTGTCCCCTGGGCTCCCCCGCCCACAGAGCTGCTCTTAAAGTGCTCACGTGAGCAAGGCTACGTCCCCTGGCTTCGGAGTGGCCGGCATCGGCGCATGCGCGCAGTCAGGGGACGCGAAGTGCCAGAGGCAGAGGGTGAGGCACCGGCTGAGCTCTTGGGGTATCGCCGCTAGCCGACTGGACTTGGACTCTGAGGCGGAGCTCTGCCAAACCTGGATCGCTACTCAAACTCTCCGAGGCTCGGGCCCTGCACCCTACCCCTTTGCGGCGGCTACTCGCCCCCGTCCGAGTGGGAGGACTCGGGGCGCTGAACAGGCGTCCTGGTGCTTACTGGGCCAGCGGATTGGCTACCTCCTCTTTCCTTTTTACCTTCCTGACCTCGGAGTTCAGGTGTAAAGTGACCGGCGATTCTGAGTAGACCTTCGCGCTCTTTGAGGATGCACTTTGCTTTTACAGTAAGGCGTTAACCTTGCCGTAGGAGTTCGAGCTCCCCACCAGCAGCAGTTTCCGGAAATAGTTTCGTTTTATATTATGTGTATATATATTCTTTTTGTATCGGTGGAAGATGTTACCATTTGTGTTCACCTCGAAACCAGTGTTTTGCTGGCAACTTAAATGACTTTTTCTCAGAAAGGCTATATATTTTCCATGACAGATCTGGACGACAATATATGCAAAGGATATATAAAGATGATAACAAATATAGTAATATTGAGCCTGATTGTTTCCATTTCTTTAGTTTTCTGGATTATGTCTATGACTGCAAGTACCTATTATGGTGAGTATGAATGTTCCGAGTTGTTTTTCTGTGGTGTGATCAGTGGAATTTAAGATTATATCGTTGTGAAATCTAAAACGCATATCTTCTGAATAGTTATGAATGGTTGTTTTTACGTAACTTCCATAACCTGAATTTAATTTACTGATTGAATTTAATTTGCTGACATGAAAATATATAGAGCCTTGAAGGTTTTAAAGTCTTTAATAATTGTTTGTTGTGATTATACTAGTTATATCTACTTCAGAATATATCTTTCCATTTTATATAATTATTACATCTGTCTTGGTGTAAAGATAAATCAGGTGAAAATGTAAAGCAAATACTGTGATACTTTCCATTTGGAAAAAGATTATTAGCAAATAAATTTGTCAGCTTCATGTGTCCTGTAAAAATAACAGATGGAATCATGTCATTTGAGATTTGGAGGATTTGTCTGCCATCTGGTAATGTCAAAAGAACAACTTCTTTTGAATCCTGAAGTTGCTTGGCATAAATATAAGGTACTTGGGCTCAGTTCATTAAAGTTTTGAAGCTGCTTTACAACATAAACATGCCTTGACCCAAACTTCCTTGGGACTCAGTTCCTTTTTTTGTGAACTGAGAAATATTCTGTTATTATAGGGATAAAAAAACAGAATATTGCTCAGTTCACAAAAAAAGGAAAAGGTGAAAAGAAGAGTGAGAAAGTGAACTCTTATAAGTGTTGGCCATTTCAAATTTTAGTCTATTTGCAAACAGACATACACATAATCAGATGGGTGTTCTCCAAATGTAGAAGTCCTCAGGGCTGTTCATTCAAAATGATTCAAGAAGAAGATTCTTATTGAATAGAATAAAGCAGAATTTATAAATTTAAGTGTCTCTCTGGGTTGGGCACATAATCCAAATGAATGAAGTTGTCCAGGTCTTTGAATATGAAACGCACAGGAATAGTTTTCATCTCCAGAAATAGTATTTTCCCATATTTGTTGAACATCTGGCTAGTTGTCTTTCGTTTTCCCATTTTTGCAAGAAAGGTACGCACAAGCAATAGCTCATGTTTTCTTTACTATAAAGAAACCAAAGGAGCTCTGGTGGTACAGTGGTTAAAGCATTTGGCTGCTAACCAGAATGTTGATGGTTCAAACCCACCAGTTGCTCTGTGGAAGAAAGACAGGCAGTCTGCTTCCATAAAAATTTACAGCTTTTGAAACCCTATTGGGCAGCTTTGCCCTGTCCTGTAGGGTCACTATGATGCAGAATTGGATGAAGTTTTTTTCTGGGTTTTATCTATATATGTATGTATGTGTGTGTGTATGTATATGTGTGTGTGTGTGTGTGTGTGTGTATAAAGGGAGCTCTGGTAGCATAGTGCCTTAGGCACTTGACTGTTAACCAGAAGGCAGGCGGTTCAAATCCTCCAGCCACTACCTTGGAAGAAAGATTGAGCAATCTACTTCCATAGTGATACTGCCTCGGATACCCAAGGAGGGGTCACTATGAGTCGGGTCTGACTCGACGGCCCACAACAACAACATATATGTATAAACCATTCAGCTGCTGCTATTGGAGCTTGCTGGAAGTGGTGGAAACATTGAATGGGAAAGCCATGGGCTCTCTAAAGGAGGTGGCCTCTTTTCACGTTGAGTCAATTCTGCTATGTGGGCCAGAACTTCCCACTTTTAACACAGAGGCCAATAATCTAGATTTTTATGTGAAATCTATGCTTTAAATATTAGCTGAAATTGTTTGAAAACATTGTGCTAGCCAAAGAAAACATCTGTTATCTGAATGCAACCTTTGGAAAAAAATTAGTTGTTTATCAGTTGTATGCTATTACTGCTACTACACACTGCCTTCAAGTCAGATCCCACTCATAGTGACCCCTCCTTGGATTTCCGAAGCAATATCACTAGGGAAGTAGATTGCCCAACATTCCTTCAGAGTGGCTGGTGGGTTTGAACCGCCATCCTTCTGGTTAGGAGTTAAATGCCTTAGGCACTATGCCACCAGAGCTCCTAATCAGTTGTATAGTCTATGAGAATGATACATGGGTTTTTTGTTTTGTTTTGTTTGATTTTTCAATCTTTTCAAAAGGCAGAAAGAGGAAGAATTAGATCTTGTTAGGAAAGGAATCTGTTCTATGTGGTTTTGACACTTAATGTGTACCTCCTTTAAAAAACATGTGGAACTAGAGATTCGCATCAAATTCTCAAACATATATGAAATACCCACTATTACATATGGCTGTAAATGGTTCTCAAAACTTGGGCAATACGCATATAGCCATTTTAGTAATGTAAGTAAGTAAGTAATATATATATAGCCAGTAAGATGAGCCCTTTGAAAATATACAGGTCTCAATGTAAATATTTTACTCTGGTTACTTCATCTCTGTTTCTTAAACAAATTATGATAGTATTTTTATTCAGAGTGTAGTTATCAAAACTTAATGCCAAAGCTGAGCTATGTAGGCTTCATAAAATTTGTGCTATTCCTTTGTAATTTTTCAGGTAACTTACGGCCTATTTCTCCTTGGCGCTGGCTGTTTTCTGTTGTTGTTCCTGTTTTGATCGTCTCTAATGGCTTTAAAAAGAAAAGTCTAGACCACAGTGGGGCTTTAGGAGGTATGTCTTTATTTTGAATGTTTAAACTAGTCATATAATAAGTGCCTGTTTATTTAAACTCAAGTTTTTGAAATTCTGAGTACTTTATATAAAACTACAAATTACAATGTTCTATATTTTAAACAAAAAGAGCTCTGGTGGCGTAGTGGTTGAAGCATTTGGCTGCTAACCAAAAGGTCCATGGTTTGAACCCACTAGCCACTTCATGGGAGAAAGATGAGGCAGTCTGATTCCATAAAGATTTACAGCTTTGGAAACGCTATGGGGCAGTTCTACTCTGTCCTGTAGGGTCAAGATAAGTCAGAATCGACTCAATGACAGTGGGAGTTCTTTTTTTTATACTTTAAACAATGATAAAGTTCTACATTGTTCAGCATTACTGCTCTATAAAAACTGCAGAAATGAGCATACCTTTTTCTTTTATTGTGTACGTGCAAATTTAACTTTATAATTGATTTCAAGTTGGTTAACAGCATAGACTTTGGAGGACCTAGACTGTTTGCTCCTTTAGTTGGATCAATTGATAATCTGCTAACAAAAACAGTGGAACACACCTCCTTAGTGTAAATAGGGGAGCAGTTGAAAGGAGTAACTTTTGAACATTGCTATTGGTAACTTCAGGCTGGACAGTCCAAATTGAGTGTTCTAGACTAATTTTTCAGAACTGAATTGGGGACAGTATTGTTATTCTTTTAGGAAATACTTATTGATTTTTTAATATCTGTCACTGTTCTAGAAACTGGAGGTATAGCTAGGAACAAAAAGGACAAGGTTTCAGTTCTCATGGAACTTTCTTTAGGGCAGATAACAAATCAAATATGTAATGCTTTTCAAATAGTGATGGAAGTTAGGAGAAAAGTTAAAGATTAAATAATATGTGTAGTTAGGGGTGCAGGACATTCTTTCATTGATAGAGTTAGGGGTAACCTTTCTCTCTAAGGAGGTCATTTTGAGCTGAGACCTGAAAAAGCCAGCATTGAGAAGATATGACAGAAACATGTTCCAAGTTAACAGAAGGAAAAAATGCAAAAGGCTTGCCCAGGGTTGAGAATAAGGCTCAGTTGACTAGAAAATATAGTGAAACCTATGACAGCCAGAACTTGGCAGGACTGCCTTGTTTTTCCAGGTCTCACAAATTTTCTGCCTTTGACAGGGTGCAAATCTTTCCACTTTTCTGTCACTCTCTATTAATGGAAAATATTTGAGTTCTTCTGCTCTGACACATTTCTGCCTTACACAGGTTTTGGCTTTCACAGATTATACTGTGGTAAGAAAAGGAAAAACTTTGAGAGATCAAGGTGAAGAAATAAAATTAATAAAAAATATAGTTGTCACCTCAACTATTCAGTAAGCTTCTTGAAGGTATATCATGTTCTCTTTTTATTGTTGGCTGCTAATCAAAAGAAAAATTTTCAAAAGAAAGTTAAACAGATAATACTGGAGATGCACAATACACTAGATTTAATGCTGCCACCTATGGAGTTGAAGCATCATACACTGTTATATGGTAAACTTTTTAAATAGAAAGTATAATACATACATAATATGGTAACATAGGTATTTATTATGACTATCAAGACTTATGTATTATTGTTAATATATGTGCTGTGGCATTATATGCCTGCTAGCATAATTGCTTTGTATACAAGAGACATGAGATACATGTGTTGCATGTGGAAAGCTGCTGCGTTCACTGCATCCCATTCTCTGATCAAGGTTTCTTAATTCTCTTTTAACCTTATGGGACCACGGACATATATGTGGTCAGACATTTTCCAAACAGATATTATGCAGCACATGGTTGTACTTGGTTTTGTTATATGTTAATTGTAAAGTTAACTCTCAGAAGACATTTTTCACTATTTCAAGTTTGTGGATGACACTTCACTGGGAACAGCTTAAACCACACAGATGTTCAAAACGAATTCTACAGTTCCCATAGCATCACCTTATTGACTCTTAACATGTAAGCTCATCCTTAAAGTTAAGCTCAGAAATTACCTCCTATGAATCTCTCTCAAACTTCAGAAGAAAGGCCTGGTGGTCTGCTTCTGAAAGGTAACAGCCTTCAGAACTCTACTCTGCACACATGAGGTCGCCATAAGTCAGGATCAACTCAACAGCAACTGATTTTTTTTTTGGTACAGAGATAGAAAGTAGATTAGTGGCTGCGTAAGGCCATAGTGGTTGAGGGGAAATGAGTAACTGCAAATGGGTACAGGGTTTCTTTTTGACTAATGAAAATGTATTGAAGTTGCTTGTGGTAATGGTTGCACAATTCTGTGAATATACTGAAAAACCATTGAATTATATATTTTAAATAGATGAATTGTGTAGTATGTAAATTATATCTCAATTAAGTTCTTTAAAAAAAAAAAAAAAAGTAATAAGGATCCATGAAGGTTCTTGTGTTAAGAGCAACCTGATAAAATGGTGTTTTTAAAAAATATCTCATTGACAGCCACAGGAAAAGAGGAGAGGAATCTGAGGTAGGAAGATTAGTAAGACTGTTACTGCAGTCATCTAAATTATGGGCTCCATAGACCTAGACTGTATTTATACAATGAACATGAAGAAGAAAAGCTGAATCTGAGAGAAATTTCTAAGAAGGCGTAAGATATAAGAGATAAAGAGAGGGAAGGTGACAGTGTTAATAACTGAGTAACTGCAACATACCGGAAGGGATAGGTTCTTAGATTGGTGTGAGTGATACCAGGCATGAGTAGAGAAGGTCAGGACCAAACTCTGATAACTGCTGCTATTCACTGTACCTATTTATCTTGTCTATCGTCTGTCTCCTTCAGTAGAATGTAAATACCAGCAGTCTGGGATCTTGTCTGCTTTGTTTACTGCGGTTTTCCAGCACATAAACAGCCAGGCACACAGTCATATTCAGATTTAAATGAGTTGAATGAATAAGCATCCATGAAGTGCCATGCTTAGGAATTTGTACTTTTTCTTGTAGATCAAAATGAGCCTTTTCAACCTGATTTTTAGGTTTATTATCTTTTCCTTACCCTTTCCTTCTGTACCCACAAAACAAAACTCTATTCTTGCTGATTCCCCTTCTCTTTTTAGAGTAAACATGAACTTCTTAGAACAGGTCCATATCACACCCTTCTAGCTTCATCTCCCCAATATGTCTCTATAAACCTGATGTGCTAGCCATGCCAGACCTTTTCCCTAGAATATACCTGTGTCTTCCCACTTGCATGACTTGACATGTATGTTTTCTCAACCTAAAGTGCACTTTTCTCTTTCTTTATTTGTGGAAATCCTATTTAGCCTTCAAAGGCTACCAATTCCTATGAGTAGGAATAAATCATTCCTTCCTAGTACATGTTCTCATAGTTCTTGGCTTCTACTGCAATCATATCATCTGTTTATTTTCTTATATTAATTGTTTACATGTCTCCTCAACTATATAGTAAGCTTCTTGAAGGCAGATAGTGTTCTCTTTCATTTCTTTATTCTCCATAGTACTTGACACAGCTCTGTGGGTAATAGGTTGAATGAATTAATTAATCAGAGAAGTCAGATGACTGAGCTTAAGAGAGTATTATTTTAAAAAACATATGAAATATTTCAACCATTTATTAAAGAAGAGAGAATGGTGCCATGAACTCCCACATACCCATCAACCAGCTTCAACAAATATCAGTCTTATACTTGTCAATTTTGTTTCATCTGTTCCTCTCCATTCTTCCTTCTTTCCCAATATCCGTATATATATATATATATATATATATATATTTGTCAAATTGGAAAATAAAAGCAGGAAAGAAAATATTTGGATTCCTTAAATTTGAGTAAGGATATCCATGGCAAAAAATTGTCATATTGCCTTCTGACACCTGTCTTAGAGTAGAGGAGGGAGAAGCAGTAGTGTACCTGCAGAGGTAGCAGTACCAGGCTCTGCCTGCTAAAGGAGTCTATCCCTGTTAACTCCCTTGGTGTTAACCTCACAGTGCCTGGATAGGAAGTATGCCAAAGTATGCAAGACTCTTAACCTGTCTATCCCAAAGCCTATCCCAGAACAATACTTACTCAGCTTCTGGTAGTACTTGAAGAGTCCCCAGGAATAAAGTACACATTTTTCTCTTTTTGGTTTATAATCTGCTGCTTCTCAGGAAGGCTATTTTGATTTTAATCTCTTTCTCCTGTTCTGAACAATTGAGTGCCCAGGGCTGAAAACAAGAAGAGACATTAGTTAAATCCTTAGTCTCTAGCATACCTAGGTCCTCTTGCAAAGTGTCGTGGGTAAGTTCTTGATCATTGGGTCAAGTAGGTAGGAGCACTTTAGATTGGAATAAAGTTTCATATAGACAGGCAGAACAGCATAGTACAAAGTGTAGACTCTTGGAGCCACACTTCCCATTCTTGATTCTGGGCTTGCCACTGGTCAGGTTCTGTGACCTTGAGCAAGTTTCTTAACCTTCCTGGCCTGTGTAATAGGAATAATAATAGTATCTACCTCATAAATTATCATGATTGTTTTCCTACTACTGTTTGTAATTTGTAAAGCACTATGTAAGTGATTTGTTCCAAGGACATTTTTTTTTTATTTATTGAATTTGTTCTTTTTATCATGTGAATGTGGACACTTTGTCATCAAGTCTTAGGCTTGGCAAGTTTAAATTTAATTTTACTTCTTAAGGCCATTAGGTTTAGTTAGTGGTTTACCTTTTTTTTTTTTTTTCATTCATTCAGCAAATATTTAGTGAGAGTCTTCTGCATGCCAGACACTGTTCAGGGCACAGGACTTAACAGTGAACAAAAATGGATAAAAATCCCACTGTCAGAGTTTACATTACTAGTCAAGAGAGACAAATGATAAATAGGATGGTTGTGGCATCTGATCTTCAGAAGGAGATGTTGTAAGTGATGGAAGAACACAGCAAGATGGGGTGTTGCTAGGAAAGACCAGCCGGTTGTGCTCTGTGTGGTTTTCCAAGGATGGCATTATCCCTGTTCCCCATTATTGAGGTTTGGTGTTCAGT